GACCCCGGATAAGCGGAAGAAAATGGATGGATGGATGGATGAAATACTAAATGTAGATATTATTTGCCTCTTCTCTGCAAGAATTTTTATTAGTTTTATTATTCTCGTTCTCAGGGGTCAGAGTGACCATTAAAAAACTTAAGCAGCAAATATATCATTTTATTCAGTTTGAATGTATTTTCTAGCTATAACTTGTGTTTCTGCTTAATGGTGACAGAACCTAATGACAAAACGCAAATGTTCTTAAATAAAAAAAATGGGGAAAAGATTGTGCAGCTTATTCATACATCAACAGTAAGAATATTTTCCTTAAAACCTTTGTGTTTTTATTTGATTGCATAAAAGGTTTTAATGGTAAGTAAAGTAAGTAAGTAAGTAAAGTTTTATTTATAAMGCGCCTTTCACAGAAATATATTCACAAGGTGCTATACAATCATTAACAGTATAAAAATGGTGAAAATAATAAAATGAAACAGAAAAACATAATTACACATACGTAAGCAACGAAAATTGAAACATTAAATCAGGAATTAATTTCTAAAATTGTAAATCAAACACAAGGTCAATGTAGGTTAAAATATACAGTAATACACAAAAACATAATGAATGCGGGAGAGAAAATATGACGCAAGTTCAATAGTAAAGAAAACAAAGATTAGCGAAGCATTCACAATGGAGGTAGGCTGGCAGTAATGGTGAAATGGTTAGCTAAAACTCTTGAGAGAAAAAGTGAGTTTTTAGGAGTGTCTTGAAAGAGACAATGTTATCAATGGAGCGCAGATTAAAAGGGAGTTCATTCCAGAGCCTGGGGGCCACAGAGGAGAAGGCACGGTCATCACGGGTCTTAAAGCGAGTGAGGGGAACCATAAGGAGAAGTTGATCCTGTGAGCGGAGATCCCGTCTGGGGTTGTAAGGGGAAATGAGACTTTTAATGTATTCTGGGGCTTGGCCATGAAGAACTCTGAAGGTGAGGACAAGGAKTTTGAACCGGATTCTAAATTGAACCGGAAGCCAGTGAAGTTCTGCTAGGATCGGGGAGATGTGGGTGAATTTGGAGGTTTCAGGTTAGGAGTCTCGCTGCCGAGTTTTGGAC